TGATTGAGCTAGGAGAATTTTAGGATTGAATCTCTGAAAATAATTAGGTCAGAATTTGGTACTTTCAAAATTTCTCATTCATCTTTGATTTATAGTTCATGATATTTATATGGTTGGATTCGTATGAAAAAATGGAACAACTTTCATGTTTACATTTTCCATTTTTGTTGAGAAATGAATGAGATACAGGTGGTCTGGTTGGAGGTTGAAGATGAAGTATATTCAGGACTTGTTTTGTATTATATATTTATCATTTCAGTTATATTAATAGATGTATAGTCACCCCAATGGTAAGGGAACCTCAGCGCGCTGCCTTTTGCTTTTTCTCTCATTTTCTTACATTTTTTTATCCTTCCAGCGCGCATGGGCCTTCCCCTCATGGGCTTTGCACTTTTTGCTCAACCTAACCCCCCTGCTCACACCATGCAACCCATATACCTTTTTTTTTTAAATTTTATTTTTTCTGATTTCCAAACAAAAACTTTATTTTGGGCCAGATTCAAAAAATGTTTTGCTAACAAACCTAAAAATTCAATTTTAACCTCTCTGACTTTATTATTTTTATTTTTATTTTTATTTTTATTTCATCTTTTATTATTATTATTATTATTATTATTATTATTATTATTATTATTATTATTATTATTATTATTATTATTATTATTATTATTATTATTATTATTATTATTTTCATTAATAAAAAAATCCCAAAAATATTTATATTATTATTATTTCTATTTATTTAGTTTATTTTTTCATAAAAATAAAAGAACAAAAACATTTTCTTTAATAAATTAATTTTTTTTAAAATAATTAGATAATAAATTTTAATTATTATTATATTATTTTTAAATTAAAATCAATTTAGAATTTAGGATTTTTATTTAATTATTTTTATTTACTAATTTAATTAAATTCACCAAAACCCTAAAAAACTTGTTTTCTTTAAATCAATTTATTTTACTAACTTAATATTAGATTTCTTATTTTTTAGTTAATTATTTTATTTTAATTAATTAGGTCAAAAAACTCTTTTCATGAAAAATCAAACAAAAAACACATTTCTTCTTACATTTTATATTCTTGCATTTTATCTTTATTTTGTACATTTATTCAAAGTTCAATATGGTTGTAATAATTATTTAGATTTAATTTTTTGCAATTCCCCATTTGTAATTTGTACACCCCTTCCCCTAAATGATGTAATAGCGTAGTAATTTTAATTTCCGCAATTTAAATGCTTTATATACAAATGCTAGTAATTAGGGTTTTGTATGGAAAGATTAAAACCAACAAATAGCAAACCCTAATCAAAGTAAAATCAAGCATGTAAATTAACACACTTGCACACATACACCCTTAGGGTAAATCCACTTGGTTGCCTTACAAAAATGGTTATATTATGCATGTGAGATATCTTAGCAAAAATAAGCAAAATACAAGATCATAGTCTCTCGATGATCTTAGTCCCTAAAGAAAATGCTATCCATGTTGCTTTTCAAAATGATCTTAGTCCCTAAAGAAAATGCTAAGATATCTTGCAACATTGTTAATCATGGTTACACGATGACCCACGCCCATCCCTTTCACATCCAAAGATAGGGTTACTTACCAAATCAATGGTAAGATAACAATGTTAAATGAAAGAGGAAATAGACATAAAAGACTTTTGAGTAGGTAGAATGTTCCTAGTTACTTGCTCAATTTCAAAACAAAAACATCTTTGCCGTTTTCAAAACAAACACCAACACTTACAAAAACATATTTCAAAACTTGAAAACATTTTCAAAAGATCAAACACTTTGTATACATTCTTACGAACGAGAATCATTACAAAGTTTGCCTAAACGATGACACATTTTCAAAATACTTTCAAAAACCACACAAAGCACATTTTCAAACAAAAGCAAGTGGTCTAGAAAGTAACTAAGAGCCCATGGAAAACCATGGATAAAAAGGGTGCTAATACCTTCCATTTTCATAATCTACCCCCCGAACTCAAGAAAACATCTCAAAGGTCTTTCCTGTTCTTTTCAGCCTTTTCTTTTGGATAAAAGAAAAGTCGGTGGCGACTCTTGCTAATCGCAACATTTACGATCAAACGCAAAACAACCAAGTCAGTTCTCCCACCATATCACAAAGTGCATGACCTTCATTCCTTTCTCACTCATATGGCCTAGTCTTTGGTGCCATAGATTGAGACTTTCATTTACTGCAACTACAATCAAATGAAATGCTCCAGCTGTCTTGTAAAGAGTACCACTCTTTTTACCGTGAGCAACTATCATTGAACCTTTAGAAATATTCCAATGATCTCCATCGAAGATTTTTGTGTAGCCATCACTAGCCAACTAGCCTACTGAGATTAAGTTCTTCGTCAGGCTAGGAATGTGTCTGACATTCTTCAGCTCCCAAACAGACCCATTCAACTTAATCTTCACTAAACCTTTTCCCACAATCTCACAAGATTATTCATTACCAAGGTATACTTTACTGAGGTTCCCGGGGACATAATTTTCGAAGAACTGTTTCTGTGAAGTTGCGTGAAAGGATGCTCCAAAGACTAACACCAAAGACTCTTCCTTTCTCTCCAAAGAACATATCAATGCATCACCTCCTCCTGAGGTTGAAGCAATGTTTACCTCATCTTTCGCCTCCTGATTCTTCAATGCACTCCTGCACTGATTTCTGTAATGTCCGGTCTTCCCATAATTCTAACACTTGATAGTCTTCGAGCTGTTAGAAGTATGATGATTTATGGACTTTGATCGTCTCACTTTTGATTTGCCTCGTCCGCTTCCTCTGGTTGAACTTCTTCCTCTTGACTCTGTATGCAATACTGAAGAGGTTGACGATTCATCCGACTCTCTCCGTCAGATCTCTTCACTGAGAACCAAATCACAAACATCATCAAATTTCAACTTGTTGCTTCCCGATGAGCTACTCACGGCTGTGACTGTAGCATTCCAACTTTCTGGCAAGGAAGACAAAAGTATCAAAGCTCGTACTTCTTCATCAAATTCGATTCCAACTGAACTCAATTGGGTTGTAACAATGTTGAGTTCGTTCAGATGTTGCACTGTTGATGCACCTTCTGTCATCTGTAAGTTGAACAATCGCCTCATCAAATGAACTTTGTTTGAGGCCGACGACTTTTCGTACATACTGGAAAGAGCCTTCATAAGATCAACCGTTGTCTTTTCTTTTGCAATGTTGAAAGCAACATTATGGGATAACGTCAATCGAATGACTCCAAGAGCTTTTCTATCGAGAAGGGTCCAGGAACTGTCGTCCATTGTCGTTGGTTTCACGCCCGTGAGAGGTTCATGCATTCCCTTTTGATACAAATAATCTTCTATTTGCATCTTCCAAAAGCTGAAGTCCGCACCGTCGAACTTCTCAATTTTCACCTTTCCTTCGTCTGCTGCCATCGTTCCCACTCAAGTCTAACTCCTCTGGATCGCTTATGAAACATAAAGAATCAACCGGCTCTGATACCAATTGTTAGGAAACTACACAAAATTTTTCCATGGTCAGATTCGTAGAAAGCGGTATAAAATGTGAAATAATAACAATACAAGTTGATATAGCAACTGCAGACTTTATTTATGAAAAATAAAATACACAATGAAATGTTGAAATATTTATTGTTTATGCATTTGCAAAACAACGTAACACTCTGCATGTTTTTCTCAAAAGCATCAATTTTATTTCTTATAACAATTTCTTCATTAATAACCGGTAGTGTTTAAGATTTTCATGACTTTTTCAACATTTATACCATGTTTTATATATGTATAAATTAAATTATTAAAATCATGATTAAGCGTTTTTAATTTTCAGTCAAAGAAAAGTTGAATTATTTTATAAAAATTATTCTTAACATCTTTTACCACATATTATAATTTACTCTTTTTATAGAAATAATCATTTACTTTAAATACTTCAGTCAAAACTTAACGATTAAACTTTTAAAATTAAATTAATATAAAGAAATTGCTTACCAAATAAATAAATATTGTAGTCAAATAATATAATATTTTTAGAAAATAAATATTATATTTTTAAATCTCATATAAACTTGCCTCAGTAGTTTAAAGCAATTGTAAGTGAGAATTTGTTTACTTAAACGTAACGAATTAAATTAAAAAAGTCTTTTTTCCCTTCTATTTAAGTTATTTCAACAAAAAAAATAAAATCACTTCCAGAAGAACGTGTTGTACATTTATAATAACCAGTACATTTTTTCCTCATTAGTAACCACTGTTTTCCATTGCATTTTTATCTTTCAATATTTTTTATTCAATAACTTCAACTCATTAACAACATTTTTATTTCAAAATATTTTTTATTTAAAAATTATATTTATTAATATAAAATAAAAAAGACTTCTAATACAATTTATTGTTTTTTATTTTAAAATAGCCTTCAAAAAGGGCAACCATATAGTATGTACCGTCAAGCAGAATAGGGGCTAACGAATAGAATGTATAAACATATTGTTTTTTGTGCTTCACATTTTCTTTTTATATTATTAGCCCTTTATTAAGAAAAAAAAAGGTCATTATGACGTTTTCCTTTTATATATTAGCCCTTCATTAAGAAAGAAAAAAAGTGAGATAGGATGAAAACGTTATTACGAGGAATAGAGTATTTTTTCATTCTCTTTTATAAAAAAAATTTAATTTTTTAAATTAATTTAATAATTGATGTATCTAATTTATATATAATTTAAATATATTATTTTTCAATGAATCTAAAAAATTAAATTTTTATTATAAAAGAGGAAGGAGGGAGTAGTCCTATAAGGATGTTGTACACAATGCATTGTTTCGTTGAAATAAAATATTAAATAAAAATCATTAAAGTAAGTCACCTTTACTAAATATGTTATTATTATTAAACATAAATGTAATTTTTGAGGATAAATTAATGATATATTAGAATGGATAGGGATGACATACAGAAGGCACAACAACTTTTATGCGATTGATCCATCCATGGATTTCAAAAACACACCTTCATCATCATCATCAATAGCTACTGATGATTATGGTAGTCATGCTCCTGGAATTCGGAAGGCAATGAAAATTCTTGAAGCTCAATTTCGTCATTCGAATGCACCATCATCCGTTCATCATTATGAGGATGTCATCAACATTTACAACAACAACATGATGAAGAATGTTTTTAATGATGTTTATAATCCTAATCAGTTCTTCGCAAGATCATCACAATCACATGAGCCATCATCCGATCAGACCGTTGTTGCTCCTACTGATACTGATGCTTCGGTCGGGTTTCATTTCAAGAAGAAGAATGTTGATGATGGTAGAATCCACAGTCTACCACATAAGAAATACGGACCCTACACATGTCCAAAGTGCAACCAAGTGTTAGCTACTTCACAAAAATTTGCTTCTCATGTGACGTCAAATCACTACAAATTTGATACTGCCGAGGAGAAAAAAAAGAGATACATGTCTAGGAACAGGAACAAACCAAGTCTCCGAATTCACAAGCTCGATAATCGACAAACTACTTTTGTTCCCGTTGTTCCATCTATTGATCAGCCACTTGTTGCTTCTATAGTCAATAATGATGATCAAAATCAAAGTTCTTCTTTGGCGCTTCCTCTCAATAGAGTTAAACTCGACTTTGATCTTATAGATGGTTAATATGTGTGCTCAATTTGTGGTGTTTAATTACATTCTTATACTCAAGTTAATAATTGCATATTGTTGAATTTTTTGTACGCTTTTTTTTTGGATTTTTTAGTGTGTCTTTTCATTTGCTGCTTATGTTCATGTCTAATTAGTCTTGTTTTGTTGTCTTTGGTTTTAATTCATGTATCAACACAATTACATGATTAATCAATTTTTTCCATCTTGCTATAAATTTATATTATCATGTATATCATTTATGTGATTCACGTCACAAACATTTTGCACTGTATTCTGGATTGGACCTGCCCTTGATCTCCTTGTCAGGCAAGACTCAGCTCAACACTGCAAAAGATCCAATAATCTGTTGTAGATTAGGCTTGCACTTAGTCCTCCGTCGGACAAGTCCATTCCAGTACTACTATGAGGAGGGTCTACTTCAGTGGTCCAGATTGCCATAACCGTTGACGAACATCTCCCATGAGTGAACATCTCCCATGAGTGCCCGTAGGGGACCTCTCTTCCACGTGCTCGTCAAGGTCGTCCCTTTCACTTGATCGTCAGACATGTCTCTCTCACGTGCCCACCAAAATTACATGGCCAACATTTCTCCAAATATCACTGAGTCATCCTGCTCCCGAAAAGAACGGGTCTTCACCTGTGAGAATCACATGGAAGTTGAATTAGGATAGAGACTACGAACTGGTCTCCTCTACCCACATATGATTCTGGAAGTCTCCATTATGGGCATGGGCATCCGACCCAAATTGAGACCTTGGCTCAGCGTTGGGGCTATTAATACCCTTTTTCACTATAGGGTCATGTACACACTTTCTCTACTCACTCTATACTTGCACTTTGCTCTGAACCTTAATTTGGCATCACAATGTCTTGCAGGCATCCCCCTATTCTCTTCAACAACTGCAGAAGTCAAAGTGTTGCAGGACACTGAAGATTCCTTATGGTCAGGTACGATCAGTGACGCTGTCTGTGGGAACCCTTTTCTTTCCCGTCTTCCTCTAACTCAAGACCAAAGCAAAATTTCAACCTTCTGATCATCATGGCCAGCCAGCACAACAAAGCCAACATCGACACTACTATTTTCGACCACGGCGAGAACAACAATAATGGGACCGTTGGTCACAAGCAAGGTGACCCCAGGGACGCTCGAACCGCGTCCTCCTCGACCAGGGACCACCACCTCGACACCCATTAGCATGTTGACCATCCCGAAGACTATCAAGAAATCCCAGTGCTTCCTAACGCTGATCCCACCATTGTGGCCCTGTTCGTGGCCATAAATCAGACCAACTACCTGATTTCTCAGCAAAATGAATGCATTAGAAAACTGGAGGAGGGTCGACGATCCCGCTCCCCTACAAGAAGATGTTGAGGACTCAAATCTCGCATCCCGTCCCCGTGATGACGAGATGTTGTCGAGTCGAGAGAGGCCCTCGACTGGAAAGACCCCTTCCTAAAATCACCAAGAAGCGCGATTGCACACCACCGCGCAAGGAGCAACGATCCCCTACTCCTAAGATGGACAAGGGAAAAGATCAGCCAGAAAAGACAAGGAGTCGGGTAAGAAATTATCCGCGCCATAGAGACCTCTGTTTTGAATCTTCCCCATCTCTCTCTCCAGACCAAAGCGACAAAAACGACCCCAGCGGTCCATTATCCCGGGCGGTCATGGAGGCCCCTGTTGTACCCCAAAATTCGCCCTCCCTTTCTTCAGGAAACCATCTTAGATTTTTCAAAACCCCCTGAAACAAATCCAAGTCCTGAGTTATCCTTTTGCCCAAGCAAGTCACTTACAAGAGCAAGATGATCTCACAAACTCCAGAAACAACGCTTTCATCTTGAGGAAAATCAAATTCTAAGTGCTTAAAATGTTCCTATAAAATAAGTGTTTTTAGAAAAATCAGCGCTTCAGAACTTCTGGACCCATTCCAGATGAAGACGGTCAGAAGTTGCAAGTTTGGCTCAACATGGTCAGAAGTTGGCTCTTCAGCAGCTACATCAGTTCAATCAGAAGTTGTAAACGTGGTTCAGAGTGTAAGCCTCAAACAGAACATGCCCCTTCAGCAGTTACACAAGCTCAGTCAGAACTTGCTAAAGGAATGCAAGAGAAACATGAAAGTATAAAGGCTCCTTCAGAACAGGTTGAAGTCAGAAGATGAAAGGTCAGAGGGATAGGTGTCACATTGATACAGAATCCCTAAGCCCAGATTTTCCAGAAGCATATCCAAGGAACGTACCAGAAAAACCAGGAGAATCTCCAGACAACAGGTAGCCAAGGCCAGAGCATGGTTTACGCTGCTGATTCAACAACCAGAATATTGGTATTGACAGGTCTTGTCACCATTTAATGCCCATTAATGCTTCCAACCACTCCTGAGCGTTCACGTGTGGCTTGGAAAATGCTTTTGCACAGATTCTGGCATGGGTCTTCACGCCACCGCCCATTTCAGAGGTCACTTCCCCCAATCTACGCCTGCTGCTGCTACCTAGGCTGAAAAATAGCTGTTATCACAACTTCCCAGGAATTTCTGTCAAAGAACAAAGATTCAAACTCTGTTGGCGCCTTAAATGTTCAAGGCATCCACAAGAACTTTGCCTATAAATAGAGAGCTTTCACCACTGCAAAAGACGTTCAAGAAAAGAAACAGAAAAATTGCTAAGAGAGAAACGAAACTCCTAGCAACATAACATCCTGAAACTCTGTCAAAATTTCCAGCTTTGTTTCATAACTTTAAGTTTCTTACCTTCAACTTCATCAAACATCCAGCTCTTTTCTGTAAACCAAAAACGTTCTTTCCAAACTTCTGACCCTATACGCGTATACACCTTCACTTCCCCTTTTCCAAATCTGTCCAGAACACCACCAGAACCAAAAGCTAACTTTCACCCACCATTTTCCAGAAAGTCAGGTAAGCACCTGCTGACCCTCACCACACTGTTAAGCATCATCAGCTGTACATATTCAAGTAACATAATGTAAATATTCATGTTATTGCTGTTTATGTTCTGAGGACTCTCATACCTCAGAACGTTCTGAGCCAGTTTAGGACTTGCCCGTGACCTTGGTGATTCTGACCTCTGAGACATTTTGCTATTTTGCTGGATCTGTTCCAAATATGTTTTCTGTTTTGTGGAGTAACAACAGGATTGCAGATGTTCTGATTAGTGCAGGAAAAAGCCAAGTGCTGACTTTGACGTTAGCACATCTGAAGCCTGTTTTGCTGTCAATGACATCAGAACCTCTGAGAGTTATTGCCTTTTCAGCAGAATCTGAACTTCTGGATTCTCCACTAACAAACTTCTGTCTTGCAGCGCAGGGAAATCAGAACTTCTGGTTTCCCCACTAACAAGGTTCTGTTTTGCAGGTTCTATAGTCAGAAGTTCTGACTCATCCAGTTTCACCAACAGGTTGATCATCTGACAGCGGATCTGGGTCAGAACTTCTGATGGCCTCCCAACAGCGCACGGGCTCCCTCTCTCTCTCTATATATATCTTGTTTTCCGCTATTTTCTTTTTTGTCTATTTTTCTCGTTGAACCCCCCATGTACAAATGTGTATCCCCCTCCCCTAATTGTTGTAATAGCGTAGGATTTTACATTTTTGCTTCTTATTGCTAGTAATTAGGACGTGTATGGCAAGATAAAATCAATGAAATAGAAAAACCTAATTCAAAGAAAAACTCTTGTATGCAATAAAACACACTTGCACACTAACACCCCTAGGGTTATATCCGTTTGTTGCCTCTCAAAATTGGGCCATATTGCATGTTAGGTCTCTTTGGGCAAAACAAACACAATTCAAATGATCATAGTCCCTCGACGACGCTTTCGAAAGTTGCCTAAAAAATGATCAAGTCCCTTAAGGAAAATGCCCAAAGATACTTGGCACCATTGCAATCATGGTCTAAACGATGACCCGCGCCCGTCCCTTTCACATCCTAACACAAGATTGTCCACCAAATACAATGGTGGAACAAAATTGTTAAAAGGTTTAAAAACATAACAAAAACCTTTGAGAACTTTAGGGTAGATCGCTCTTAAGTACTTGCCAACTTGCAAAACAAAACACTCGCCTAATTTCAAAATCACACATCACTACACTTTCAAAACAACTTTCAAAAACAAATGAAAACTTTTTCAAAAGACATACATCTTTGTATACATCCCCACATGGATCATTACAAAGGTTGCCACCACATTGGCATCTTTTCAAAACATTTTCAAACCCACACACACAAGCACCATTTCAAACAATTGAAAAAGGCAAGTGATCTAAGCAAGTAACTAAGAGCCCATGGATAACCATGGATAGAAAGGGTGCTAATACCTTCCCTTTCTATAATCTACTCCCCGAACCCAAGAAAACATCTCAAAGGTTTTTGCTGTGCTTTTTAAACCTTTCCTTAGGATAAAATAAAAGTCGGTGGCGACTCTTGCTAACCGCAACATTTGCGAACACGAACGCAAAACACTAGTCAGTTCTCCCACCGTATCACAGAACTGGCGACTCTGCTGGGGAATTTCTTTAAAAGTGGAGTAACCTTAGGGCTTAGATCACCCTCTTGCATGACTAATTGTTTGATTTGTTTGCTTTATGCTTTGGCTCTATTGTTTGGGTTTACAATCCTCCACCCGGATTTTGGGAAACATTCATAGATAGCAATACGTTGTGGAAACTGTGCGGGGTATACCGACACGGTCTAAGCAATAGCTATATTAGTGCGACATATTTGTGAGTACCGGTAACCCTTGAGTTCAATCAAGGAGAGTACGGGGCCGCTGAGTGATGTCACTAAGCACTAATGACCTAGAACCTTACTTGACCATCTTGGCCTTTCATTAGGGGTAGTGAGATGACCGGCTTTGGTGCAGTCCGAAGTTGGTAGATACTCGATACTACACTCATTGAGGGTTGTTTTCTTGGAATATTTTGGTCGCTAGTTAAGTGGCTAAACCAAAACAATGAACATTGAAAACAATCCAATGATATTGAG